GGGACATCCAAGGGCTGCAGACTCACCCCCCTGTTCTGGAGGTCCACCCCACTCTGGCATTGAGTGACTCTCAAGGTCACAATTTCAGTCACACTTGCCCTCAGGCTCAGCTTCTCTGCTCCAGCGTGGAGTCTCCCATGGCCTACACGTGGGTATCCACTCCACCATTGAACTTCCATGGGCTGCAGGGACCTCCTTTGCCTTCTCCTACTCCACGCAGTTGAATTGGGTGTCTGAGATTCTCTGTCTTCCCCCTCCTTCCTCCTGGCAACAAAGCTCTCTCTTTGTTTAGACTGATGATCGTCTTTTGTTCAGGTCAACGGCCTCTCCTCCAGGTTCTCTCCACCTTCTTCTTTTCAGGACAGTCTTTCCCCTCACAAATATGGATTCACAGAGGTGTTTCTCTAGTGCTTATTGGCTCAACCTGAGCTGGGGGGGTACACCTTGGAGCCAGGCTTCTCACAAGGTAGCCCCTTCTCTCACTACCAAAAATACCCCCTCACACACAACCCAACACAAGGACCAAGCATTATTAGACATTTGACTGGTGATACTATTCCCCGTTACAAGTGTAGAGGGATTTGCATCCAAAACAAATCTAAGAAAGTGGAATCTTTATTTGCGTTGTTTACCGTTAGTTCTGTTTATATCTCTGTGTGAATGCTGTGGCTTATTTGTCGTTTCATCGCTTGAAACTTTTAATATCTCGGTGTTGAGAAAATATAATGCTCAGTGCCTTTAGCATTGAGTCTGACAAACTGACTGTCAGAGATACGGAAATAAATGATGTTTAATAATATTAGGAATAAAAATCCTTGGGACAAAAGATACTCAGTGGAGTAAATTGGATAAGGACTGGCTGGACGCTTTAACCTAGCTTCATCTTTTGTGTTATTTGTGAATAATGAAATTTCATCAAAGTTTCAGGAAGTGGTGGTGACCCTTATCGCAGTGGAAAGGATGCCCTGGAAGGGGCTCCTCAGTGCTACTGGAGGCAGGAAGCTGGGAGAGAGTTTGTTACTTTAGATCAAATATTACTAATGCTGAAAAATGTGTGAAAAAGTTCGTAGAACTCAGAATTATTTACTAGAAAGAAAAAAAAGTCGCACTCAGGGTAAAGTTGCAGATCTCAGAGTACTTAATTGAAACAAGTTGTGGAAAAGATTACTGTCGTATGATTTGCAAAAAATCCAGAATGAAAAAGCAGAAAGACTCTCAGTTTCTCTTAGTTACATACACTGAAATTAAGTCAAAATAAAAAACCTAATGCATGGCACATAAAGACTGTGTGCATAGGAGAATGCAGCTTTGCTGGTACAGCAGGACCGAAGGAGAAGAAAAGGGTCTGTGTGTGTGCACGCACATGTGTGGGCACTGAGGGGGTTTGTTCAGCTTTAGAAGACCTTTGTGCCCTGGCAGCCTTCAGACAGCTGAGCACTGGGCGAGTCTCCTACCTTAATTAAGAATAGTTTGATTGCGCATGTCACTTCTCCCATTGCCTCTGCAGTTCTGAGGGGCTTCTAACCTGTTGAGGTGCTGCTGTGATTGCCCCTGTGTGGAGTAGCAGCGTGGGGGAGCTGCTGTGATTGACCCTGCATGGGGCATCTAGGGTACAGGCTCTGTCTGGCAGCTTTACTCTCAACCTGAGGTAGGAGCAGGGTTGAAGCAAGCGGTGGTTTTCTTAGCATATAAATTTCTCTATTTTTCTCTTTTTATAACTGTCCGCAAATGTAGGAGTTTGCAGGGTGCTTCCTCTTATTGGTGTTTCACGCCACTTTGAAATGGGAACTGTTACCTTGGTCCAAAAGCAGAGATAAATCTGGGCCCTGGCAACACAAACCTGTTGCTGCATGCTCTGTGATTGAAGTCTGCTACCAAGGGGCTTGGTCAGAGGTTGTTGTTCTATGAATGGCTTTTTTTAGCTTGCAGACATACGTACACAAGAAGTAAGAGTGCAGCCGTTTTGGCTTTCGACTCAGGGAGGGTGGTGAGGAGAAAGGATGTAATGGGTTTTGAGAGAAAGACAGATGTTCAGTTGCAAGCATTTTTTCTACAACTTCCTATTTTGATTTGCATTAGAGGCGGGGGCTAGATATATTTATGGTTTAATGAGACACTCTTGCCTTAATAGCAGAATATTATTCACAGGAAGAAATGAGTTATTGCTGGTTTTCTTCTCCTTTCTGTTCAGTTACTGTGGATACAGCATGTAAGTTTTAGGCATACTTCCCCCTCAAGCAGTACACACAGCTTCCAGTTGTTATGCTGAAGCTGCTGAAGGAAAGAGGTTAAAGGAGCACAGTTTTTAAAGAGAGATTTGTTTGCTGCTTGAATTCCTACGGATACAATGAGCTTTCGCGGGAGATTCAGAAGGGAGCCCAGTGAACTGCGGAGGAAGAGAAGGACCGTTAGGCGAGTGAATCAAGGAGAAATTCACAGATTAAGCTGCGTGAGTATGCACCCCTTCTTTCATCTCTTCTACAAAATTGCTAAGAAATTACAGGTTAAATGGTCTTCAGACTACACGTAGGAGAGAGTAAGATTTATTCCTTGGTGTGTATGTAGGATTTACTCTGAGTCTGGTGAATCTGTGTGATGGCTTACTGAACACTGAAGAATGATTACTGAATCCTGAGACTGAAGCACAGGGAGTTCAGGAATTTACAGAACTCAGGGGCATTAGGAAAACTGTTGTAGCCTCATGTCATCGATCAGATGTGTACTGATAGCAGCATTGTGTGATGGTCTTTCTGGTGCCTGGTAACATGGGCTTTGTAGTTCAGTGAAAATCCCTAATTCTGCTTCTGGAGTAGAAAGTTACTCTGTGCTATTTCAGATCTCACAATCTGATATAGGTAATTTGTGCCTCTTGAGGCCAGGAGGAGGAGGAGAAAGCCATTGTCCTCCTGTGGTGCAGGGAGCAAAGGGAGAAGGCTCCAAAGCCCTTGGTGGAAAGCTGCAGTGAGATCTGCCCTGTGAGGTAGATGGCAGCTTTGCCAGTGATGGCTTTGAGCCAGAACTGCACCTCCTGAAGCTCTGCTGCGTGACACTGGGCAGCTCACGTTAATGGTGTTGTGCCTAAGCTTTCCTGACTGAAATTGAAACTGCAGACAATTTTAGGTGAAACGCTTAGAGCCTTGTGTTGGGAAGTCTTAGACAAGTACTGGTTTTCAGTGTATTCTCTTAACCTGAGAGATTACTGTAGATGTCAGTCAAACACTTGATGGCTTCCCCAAGAATGATTTACAGACAATGGATCCTTTTCTTCACGGCAAGAGGAGTTTGGTTTTCTTCTGTAGTTTTGTATATCCAAGTACAAGCTTTGTTTGCCTGTGCATGCTGGAGGCTCTTTCGAGGCTATTCTGTGTGTCCAGTGTAACAAAAATCAGTGATAATACATTGAAGAAGATTCTTCTCATTAACTTTTTTAAATAGGAAGGAAAATAACTGTGCAGTTGTAACACTTGGTCACAGATTCATAGCCTGTGGTTCATCTAGTAGATTGGGTTTTGCTTGTGATTAGCTGCTGTTATGGATAGATATTTTATATGGAAATGTATCTTTTTGACAAGGCTAACTTACAGTGTAGTTCCTGCTACCCTGAACTATTGGTGTATAGTCGAAGATACCAAGTTTAAGCTTGATGGATTTTTGTCATTATTGTACAAATCCCGACTGTATGTGAATAGTGCTCACCAGAAGTGTTTGAAGCCCTACAGGAAAATATGGCTGGACCGGAACAGTAGCAATGAATCAGTAGCTTGCCCACAGATAGAGAGGAATATATTTGTTTATTCTTGCCTGTATCCTCAGATAACAGAAGCTGAGAGTATCTTAAATTTAGTGGTGCTAAAGAACCTTTAAATGGCTGTGATTTCTAAGAGTCAATAAAATGTATCATACTCTGACCTAAAATTTAGAGTGCTTGTAACCATGTGCCTGTTGCCTTTAATTGGAAAAAGTTAACATGCCTTTTTCATCAGAGGCTTGTGGTTCACACTGCACTTCCCATGAAGTGGCTGGCTGCTGTAATGTCAGGGATATAACTGGGGTTTTCAGGGGAATCTGTTTGTTCTCATTTCTGTTCTTTTCAGACATAAGATAGACTAAGGTGGAGTCACTGTCATGTTATTCTGTGAGTGTATGTTGCAGTAGTTTGTTTAGCCCTTAGGAAATGTGGGCACACTTGGCTTTACTTCTGTGGCTTGTGACCTGTCTTTCTACCCAATATTTCATAATTGGAGCATGTAAAATCTTTGGCCTATGGGCACTTTTTACTATCAACCGGGAGCCCATCTCTCCTTCATGCATCAGTCCTCTGCACCCCCGATGCTGCCAATTTCCAAGTGGTGTTAGCTCCCACTGCAGCTGTAAAGGCTTTTGTATATGGGGACTTTATTCAAAGAGTGCATTTCTTAATATACTACATTTAGACTTGTATTTTCTGTAGATGGACTTGCATTACTTGCTGGAAACTCCTTCTTTTGTAAGGCTAATTATGATCTGATTAGTTTTAATTGATCGTAGGTTGCTGATTGAGCTCAGTGTCGTTTACTAGATTTTACTCTCATTTATGTTCTGTGTGTGTAAATGACTGATTGATTGGGAGGGTGGTTGATGTCAAGGAAACGATTATAATTTTAACATCATTGTGAGAGCTGAGTTTTATAATGGTTATGTATAGATGATACTAATTTTTACAGATAAAGCCTCTGTGGAAATAGTTATTTACTCAGATATGTAACAATAAAAAAAAATAAAATCTGTAACTCATTAAAAGATAAGTAACCGTAGCATAGGTAGAAAAAGGGAGATATTCACTGAGTAAAACGAAGCGGAACAGCATATATGAGATTTGCCCTACAGGACAGTGACTTATTGCTAAGTATTCTGTAGAAGTCAAATGGTATTTTTGAGAAGTTTATTTAGAGCTAATGCAAACGTTTTTGTCAGTTGTTTTTGCTTCAGGGGCTTCTAAAGTGCTTGAGACCCTTTCAAAAAGCTGTTTGCTCAGTCTACAGGTCTAGGACTTCATACATCTGAATTTTAGTGTTTAAGTGAAAAGGGGCAGTGTACTTTGCTTATGCACTATGTTGCAGCTTCATCATCAGACTTACAATAGTGATCAGTCTTTAGCATCAGAGCATGATCTAATAAACAGCCATTAGAATTTTCCCTTCAGTCCTTAAAAAAGGTATCCTGTGTACTCTAAAAACGAAGTCTACTGAAAAGAAACGTTTATTTTCAAAGTAAATAAAAACATTTAAAGACAATTCTGTGCTGTGGACGGTGTTTTGTAAAATATGCCCCTGTTTTAGCAGCAGGTTTGTGCTAGTTGAGCCTGGTGGAGGAGCGGATGAGCTGGGAGCACCTGGTATGTCCTCCCTTCTGTCCTTCCACTGAACCTGTGCACAGATGACTGTGGGTAGATCACTCCATCTCCCTTATTCTTCCAGTTTACACAAACTGAAGGGACTGGTTTTGGCTGATCTTGTTGCTATAACCAGTTCTATTATTGCTGTGTAGATGCTGTGGGTGTCAGAGCTGGGTTTCTACCTTTGCTATCAGGGTCATCTGAGTGCCATTTAAGGCAAAAATTGGGAGTATCTTTAATGTAAATTTTCCCTAGACTGCAATAGCTCTTTCCGTGTATGTGATGTTATATATATATATATGTGTGTGTGTGTGTGTGTGTGTATACACAGATAGAGTCAGAAGTGCTGTTTACAGAAACTTTGTACTGGAAGCTTAAAAGCTTTGGTCAAATCCGCGATGTGCAGGTTGCAGGATGGTTTTGTTAACATTCCTGTTTGCAATCATGAATCTGCCCACCTGAGGCCATGCTGGAAAAAGCAGAGTGTTTACAGAATAGTTGAAGGAGACTCACTGCAGCATCCCCTTTATGGTGCCCAGGGCAGGACAATTCACTTCTTCCCTGGGGTGAAGTAATGGCTAATGAGGCAAGTGGCCGGGAGAAGCATTCCAGCTCTGGGTCACAGGTCCTCTCCACTCCCCCACAGCTCCAGTCCCTTTTTGCCAGTCCCCTCCCAGGACATCCTACCTGTCTGTTCAGATGTCTATATGAAGATGAGTGGATCACATCTTTGGCTTTTGCTTAGTTTCTTTATGAATAGGTTCAGCATGGAAGCTTTAAAGAAAACCTTTTGTTGCTATAACTGCACTTTTCTTTTCTGGCTAAGGTCAAGTAAGGGGAGTGAAGTGGCTGAGTGTTGGTAGGTGAGAGGTCTGTCTAAATTAAACTTAAAAAAACCCCAACTTTAGAATACTTTACAAGACTTTCTTGTTTTTTTCCCCTGAAATGACCTGTGGGCAAATATTTAGTCTAGGCTTCAGAAGTACTCACTATTTAGAAGCTGTCATTTTTTACATTTCCAATTACATTAAATACGTGAACTGTAATTTAAAAACTTAGCAGTTTCTTTAGAGGTCTTGTTGTCAGTGTCATGATAATGCCCATTTTAGTAATTTTCTGATTAAATGAAATTTATCATCTCCTTCCTAAAAAGGGTTTCCAGCTACTGCATAAACACAGAGGATAAGTAAGTTGTTTTCTGTTACCTTGAATATTTTGCAGACTACATTGGTAGTTGTATCTGATGTCTAAAATGGCAAGTGCTAGTCGTTGAATATGCTCATGTGTATACCTTCCAGATTCAGAAAGCACCGCAGCAGGGCTACAATGCCAGGTGTATAATCATGGTTGAAAAACAGAATTCAGAAAACACTTATGACTGAGTCAAGTGTAGCATGAAGCTTCCCTCCTCTTCCCCCAGCACGGATGTATTGCTGAACCAACAGTCCTATGTGGCTTGCATGTTTTAACCATGAGTGAGATAGTTTTACAAGGCCTAATGCTTTCAAAATTCATAATGAAAGCAACGATAATTGCTAACTTGAGAAATAGAAAAAGTAGGTCACTCCCAGTTGCCTGAGAACAGATCTATGTGGTTTGAGCAGTCTCAACTCTGGTTGCTCGTTGGTCAGCTTGCTGGAGAAGTTACGTGTCTATGTGCCACTGAAGCCTCTGATGGCTGCAGCTGGCTGATCAGTTAAAATGAAAATGGTCTGAATTAGCTCATCCAGATGAGACATGTTCCCATTTTTCAGATATTTAACACACTGAATTCTTACAGTAACTTTTAAAGCTGGAAAATATGCAAGGTAGACCTTTATGGATTTTGATCCACAAAACAATGGTAATTTCCAGTGTAAGCAATTAGGATTCATCCCATCCCAGCTGTAATCGTACAGACTAAGTCTCATTTAGTCAAGAAAATCCCTTATTGGTGTCAATCAGAATTTTCTTTGAATAAAGAGGCTTTAATGAAAGAAAATTACTTTTCACTTTCTTTATTCCCAGCAGGATCTTCCACAGGTTTCCCTGCTTTTACACTGCTTAAGCTGGTAGGAAGTACAGCATTTTGGAAA